ATGGTGTTGGGTAGCGTACAAAGAGTGGATTTGGATTGCGTTGACCGTGCATCGCAGGTGGATTTGCTGGAGGCATAGCGGAAGGCCGTGGCCACATGTGAGTACAATACGTCCACCGGAAAGAACATTTTTCATGTGGCCTCTTGGATGGAATCAAATGGACTCGGGCAATGGTTTTACCGCAAGGAGTGGCAGGAGGGGACGTACGACAAGTATGTCATCCTTTCCACCATTGATTTTAATCGCGATGAAAATAAGGGAACCGCGTACGGTTACTTGACGTTTCACGGCGAAACCACGACAAGACCGGTGCAAATAGACTTTGCGGAAGTTTTGGGTGGCACGCGCTGTTCTGTTTGGCGTCGTTGTTCCCCCACTCCCAAGTATTGGTGCAGACGTCCCTGTCGATGGACGTTGCTCTTGCTTGCGGGCGCATCCATTTAGTGATGCGGCCGACAACTCCAGCCCACTGCTGCTGCTTCTGGCTTGACTGCTACACCGCCCCCAGCAGCGGGCGTAGTGGGACTGGGGACGAGAACACAGTGGACGAAGTTCACTCGGATGGTGCTGGCGGTCCCGTCAGCGTCTCGTCGACCCCAGCGACCCACCCACATCACCAGCAAGCACAGAAATGGACGAGACAGGGAAGGCATCAACAGACTACCAGGGAAACAATTGCTTTTTCACATTACTTTCAGCCAAACAACCGGAAGAATTCACAACAACATCAATCACCAAAAACGACAAAGGAACAGCGACCACCGCGGCCACCATCGGCAGCACCGCAGGCTTCCAGAAAAATTCCCCTCTTTTGCTTCTTCTTGTCACGTATGCGGCTGCTGCTGCGGTGGTGGCTGTGCGTGCATGAAGTGGTGTGCGTCGAATATGAACTAAGGCCCAATGCAACTGAACTGTTTTTGTGATGAATATTGGCTGCGCTTCCCGTGGACCAACAATTCTCGTGGTGTGCGGGGACATCTTTCCCTTTATTGTTGCTTTGGCTTTTTGGGCTGCTGTGTGCGCTGCATCTATTCTCGTGTGTGTGTGCGTACTCTCCGTGAGGGGTGCCGACACGACGGACCGCTCTCGCCGTGTGTGCATGCGGTGGAGCCTTGTGTGCCGCTCCTGTTTGCTTCTCCCTCCTCCATCTGTGTGTGTGTGCCTGCTGCCGTGGATTGGAGTGTGTGTCGTGCGTGGTGTGCGGCGTACGGTGCATGCCTGGCTGCTGCTCTCTCCTCATGTGGTTTGCCCTCTGTGTGTGTGTCTGCCGCACCTCTCGTCTCCCCTGTTGCTCTCCATGTTTCTCACTGTGCAGATAAGCTCCACACGACTGAATGACCACACTCACGATGGTGACGTGCCGTCTGCTGTACGCCCTGCTGATGCTCGCCCTGTGCTGCTGCCCGTCAGTGTGCGCGGCAGAAGGTGGTGGTCAGAAGCAGGAAACTACCACTACGACTACCACAACAAAGCCACCAACTACGACGACCACGACAACAACAAAGCCACCAACTACGACTACCACAACGACCACTACCACAACCACCACGACCACTGCGCCGGAGGCACCAAGCATTACGACTACAGAGGCGCCAAATACGACGACCACCCGTGCGCCGTCAAGTATTCGCAGAATTGACGGCAGCTTCGGCAGCTCTGCGTGGGCGTGTGCCCCGCTGCTTCTCGCCGCATCCGCGCTGGCGTACACCACTCTGGGCTGAAGAGGTGTGTGCGGGCTGTGCGTGCCAGCACTCAGCCACGGGGACATTTGTGCGTCTACCGTGGTCCGATGTATAAAGAAAGAGTAGTTATGATGATTGTGTTTTGCTTTGCTTGCTTCTGCTGCCATGCTGTGTGCTCCGCGTTGTGCACCACATCCGTCACGTTGAACGCATCCCAGACACACCCATATGCATGCGCACTGGAGCCTTGGGTTTGTTTTTTCTTGTTCTTTAATTCTTTTTTTAATTTTTTTTTAATTCTTTTTTTCGTTGCTTCTGCTTTTATAGCTTCTGTGTTGTGGGGCGGTGTGCGAGTTCTGCAATTGTACTGATTCCATCTGTCTCATGTTGTGTTTGTTGCTGCTGCTGCTGGGCTGCTGCCGTTTGTTTTTGTGCGGTTGCTGTGCGTGGTGTGGCGGTCGTATTTCTCTCTTTGTTTTCGCTGCGTTGACGGGGAGTTGGTTTGTGCTGGAGGCCACACGCAAGTGACGGGAGTGATGGCGATGATGGTGCCTGGCCGTGTGCTGCTGGTGTGTGCCCTCTGCGTGCTGTGGTGCGGTGCCAGCGGTGTCGGCCGATGCTGGGGATTATGATGTTTCTTGTGGTCATGGAACTTTGTGCGGAATTGGAGTTGGTGTTGACGGTGAACCCTCCGCCCGGTTGGTAGTCATGCGTCTACTGGAGGTACAAAGGGTGAATGTTTTCAGGGAGGTGGAGGTGACTCTCCGGGTTCTGCTACACCCGCTTGCACATCGTCACCTGCCGATGCGGAGGAGTCCGAGGGTGGGGCTTTAAATGGCCCCAAGAAGGATGTATCCCGTGTTGAGGAGGACCCCGATGCAGCGCAGGACCCGCTACAACCAGGTCTCACGTTGTATCGGCAGCCGAGGTGATGGCGGCACAACCGTGAAGGAAGAAGTGACTGGTGTGGAGAGCAGCGACACTGCTGACTTGCCCCCAACGAGAGCCACGCACCACAAGCAGCACGACCAGTGACGGGGGAACCGGAAGGCACAGGGAAACAGGCAGCATCGAAGGCGTTATCAACGCCAGCAGAGGGACGAGGGATATCAGGCGCGACGGATCAAAAAGTGGACTCACCAAAGGAGGAAGCCGCGTGCAGCGCAGGTGCCACAAACAGTCGGTCACCTGTCGGTCAACAACAAACCGAACCTTCATCTCCCTCTACGAGTGGAAGTACTTCGACTTTGACTCCGGAAGAGGAACCCGCTGGGGAGCTCCATTCCAGCAATAACCAGCCATCTGGTGACGCGGTACCGAAGGAAGGAACGCAACATGAAGGTCTTGCTGGCGGCGAAACGCAAGTATAGCCCGCAACTACTAACGACGAATCGATTGGAACAGCACCAGCTGGCGACGGCGACATCAGTACCGTGGCCTCCCACACCACCTCCCCTTTTTGCTCTTGCATCTTCCTGTGACGTGTGCGGTTGCTGCTGCGGTGGTGGCTGTGCGTGCATGAAGTGGTGTGCGCCGAATATGAACTAAGGCCCAATGCAACTGAACTGTTTTTGTGATGAATATTGGCTGCACTTCCCGTGGACCAACAATTCTCGTGGTGCGCGGGGATATCTTTCCCTTTATTGTTACTTTGGACTTTTGGGCTGCTGTGTGTGCTGCATCTATTCTCGTGTGTGTGTGTGCGTACTCTCCGTGAGGGGAGCAGACACGACGGACCGCTGTCGCCGTGTGTGCATGCGGTGGAGCCTTGTGTGCCGCTACTGTTTGCTTCTCCCTCTTCCATCTGTGTGTGTGTGCCTGCTGCCGTGGATTGGAGTGTGTGTCGTGCGTGGTGTGCGGCGTACGGTGCATGCCTGGCTGCTGCTCTCTCCTCATGTGGTTTGCCCTCTGTGTGTGTGTCTGCCGCACCTCTCGTCTCCCCTGTTGCTCTCCATGTCCCTCACTGTGCAGATAAGCTCCACTCGACTGAATGACCACACTCACGATGGTGACGTGCCGTCTGCTGTACGCCCTGCTGGTGCTCGCCCTGTGCTGCTGCCCGTCCGTGTGCGTGACAGCAAGTGATAAGCAGGAAACTACCACTACGACTACCACAACAAAGCCACCAACTACGACGACCACGACAACAACAAAGCCACCAACTACGACGACCACGACAACAACAAAGCCACCAACTACGACGACCACGACAACAACAAAGCCACCAACTACGACGATCACGACAACCACGACCACCACGACCACCACGACCACGACCACAACCACGACCACTGCGCCGGAGGCACCAAGCATTACGACTACAGAGGCGCCAAATACGACGACCACCCGTGCGCCGTCAAGTATTCGCAGAATTGACGGCAGCCTCGGCAGCTCTGCGTGGGCGTGTGCCCCGCTGCTTCTCGCCGCATCCGCGCTGGCGTACACCATTCTGGGCTGAAGAGGTGTGTGCGGGCTGTGCGTGCCAGCACTCAGCCACGGGGACATGTGTGCGTCTACCGTGGTCCGATGTATAAAGAAAGAGTAATTATGATGATTGTGTTTTGCTTTGCTTGCTTCTGCTGCCATGCTGTGTGCTCCGCGTTGTGCACCACATCCGTCACGTTGAACGCATCCCAGAAACACCCATATGCATGCGCACTGGAGCCTTGGGTTTGTTTTTTCTTGTTTTTTAATTCTTTTTTAAATCCTTTTTTTAATTCTTTTCTTAATTCTTCTTTTAATTCTTTTCTTAATTCTTTTTTTAATCTTTTTTTCGTTGCTTCTGCTTTTATAGCTTCTGTGTTGTGGGGCGGTGTGCGAGTTCTGCAATTGTACTGATTCCATCTGTCTCATGTTGTGTTTGTTGCTGCTGCTGCTGGGCTGCTGCCGTTTGTTTTTGTGCGGTTGCTGTGCGTGGTGTGGCGGTCGTATTTCTCTCTTTGTTTTCGTTGCGTTGACGGGGAGTTGGTTTGTGCTGGAGGCTGCACGCAAGTGACGGGAGTGATGGCGATGATGGTGCCTGGCCGTGTGCTGCTGGTGTGTGCCCTCTGCGTGCTGTGGTGCGGTGCCAGCGGTGTCGGCCGATGCTGGGGATTATGATGTTTCTTGTGGTCATGGAGCTTTGTGCGGAATTGGAGTTGGTGTTGACGGTGAACCCTCCGCCCGGTTGGTAGTCATGCATCTACTGGAGGTACAAAGGGTGAATGTTTTCAGGGAGGTGGAGGTGACTCTCCGGGTTCTGCTGCACCCGCTTGCACATCGTCACCTGCCGATGCGGAATAGTCCGAGGGTGGGGCTTTAAATGGCCCCAAGAAGGATGTATCCCGTGTTGAGGAGGACCCCGATGCAGCGCAGGACCCGCTACAACCAGGTCTCACGTTGTATCGGCAGCCGAGGTGATGGCGGCACAACCGTGAAGGAAGAGTGACTGGTGTGGAGAGCAGCGACACTGCTGACTTGCCCCCAACGAGAGCCACGCACCACAAGCAGCACGACCAGTGACGGGGGAACCGGAAGGCACAGGGAAACAGGCAGCATCGAAGGCGTTATCAACGCCAGCAGAGGGACGAGGGATATCAGGCGCGACGGATCAAAAAGTGGACTCACCAAAGGAGGAAGCCGCGTGCAGCGCAGGTGCCACAAACAGTCGGTCACCTGTCGGTCAACAACAAACCGAACCTTCATCTCCCTCTACGAGTGGAAGTACTTCGACTTTGACCCCGGAAAAGGAACCCGCTGGGGAGCTCCATTCCAGCAATAACCAGCCATCTGGTGACGCGGTACCGAAGGAAGGAACGCAACATGAAGGTCTTGCTGGCGGCGAAACGCAAATATAGCCCGCAACTACTAACGACGAATCGATTGGAACAGCACCAGCTGGCGACGGCGACATCAGTACCGTGGCCTCCCACACCACCTCCCCTTTTTGCTCTTGCATCTTCCTGTGACGCGTGCGGCTGCTGCTGCGGTGGTGGCTGTGCGTGCATGAAGTGGTGTGCGCCGAATATGAACTAAGGCCCAATGCAACTGAACTGTTTTTGTGATGAATATTGGCTGCACTTCCCGTGGACCAACAATTCTCGTGGTGTGCAGGGATATCTTTCCCTTTATTGTTGCTTTGGCTTTTTGTGTTGCTGTGTGCGCTGCATCTATTCTCGTGTGTGTGTGTGTGCGTACTCTCCGTGAGGGGTGCAGGCACGACGGACCGCTCTCGCCGTGTGTGCATGCGGTGGAGCCTTGTGTGCCGCTCCTGTTTGCTTCTCCCTCTTCCATCTGTGTGTGTGTGCCTGCTGCCGTGGATTGGAGTGTGTGTCGTGCGTGGTGTGCGGCGTACGGTGCATGCCTGGCTGCTGCTCTCTCCTCATGTGGTTTGCCCTCTGTGTGTGTGTCTGCCGCACCTCTCGTCTCCCCTGTTGCTCTCCATGTCCCTCACTGTGCAGATAAGCTCCACACCACTGGATGAACACACTCACGATGGTGACGTGCCGTCTGCTGTACGCCCTGCTGGTGCTCGCCCTGTGCTGTTGCCCGTCCGTGTGCGTGACAGCAAGTGATAAGCAGGAAACTACCACTACGACTACCACAACAAAGCCACCAACTACGACGACCACGACAACAACAAAGCCACCAACTACGACGACCACGACAACCACGACCACAACCACGACCACTGCGCCGGAGGCACCAAGCATTACGACTACAGAGGCGCCAAATACGACGACCACCCGTGCGCCGTCAAGTATTCGCAGAATTGACGGCAGCCTCGGCAGCTCTGCGTGGGCGTGTGCCCCGCTGCTTCTCGCCGCATCCGCACTGGCGTACACCACTCTGGGCTGAAGAGGTGTGTGCGGGCTGTGCGTGCCAGCACTCAGCCACGGGGACATGTGTGCGTCTACCGTGGTCCGATGTATAAAGTAAGAGTAATTATGATGATTGTGTTTTGCTTTGCTTGCTTCTGCTGCCATGCTGTGTGCTCCGCGTTGTGCACCACATCCGTCACGTTGAACGCATCCCAGACACACTCATATGCATGCGCACTGGAGCCTTGGGTTTGTTTTTTCTTGTTTTTTAATTCTTTTCTTAATTCTTTTTTTAATCTTTTTTTCGTTGTTTCTGCTTTTATAGCTTCTGTGTTGTGGGGCGGTGTGCGAGTTCTGCAATTGTACTGATTCCATCTGTCTCATGTTGTGTTTGTTGCTGCTGGGCTGCTGCCGTTTGTTTTTGTGCGGTTGCTGTGCGTGGTGTAGCGGTCGTATTTCTCTCTTTGTTTTCGCTGCGTTGACGGGGAGTTGGTTTGTGCTGGAGGCCACACGCAAGTGACGGGAGTGATGGCGATGATGGTGCCTGGCCGTGTGCTGCTGGTGTGTGCCCTCTGCGTGCTGTGGTGCGGTGCCAGCGGTGTCGGCCGATGCTGGGGATTATGATGTTTCTTGTGGTCATGGAGCTTTGTGCGGAATTGGAGTTGGTGTTGACGGTGAACCCTCCGCCCGGTTGGTAGTCATGCATCTACTGGAGGTACAAAGGGTGAATGTTTTCAGGGAGGTGGAGGTGACTCTCCGGGTTCTGCTACACCCGCTTGCACATCGTCACCTGCCGATGCGGAGGAGTCCGAGGGTGGGGCTTTAAATGGCCCCAAGAAGGATGTATCCCGTGTTGAGGAGGACCCCGATGCAGCGCAGGACCCGCTACAACCAGGTCTCACGTTGTGTCGGCAGCCGAGGTGATGGCGGCACAACCGTGAAGGAAGAGTGACTGGTGTGGAGAGCAGCGACACTGCTGACTTGCCCCCAACGAGAGCCACGCACCACAAGCAGCACGACCAGTGACGGGGGAACCGGAAGGCACAGGGAAACAGGCAGCATCGAAGGCGTTATCAACGCCAGCAGAGGGACGAGGGATATCAGGCGCGACGGATCAAAAAGTGGACTCACCAAAGGAGGAAGCCGCGTGCAGCGCAGGTGCCACAAACAGTCGGTCACCTGTCGGTCAACAACAAACCGAACCTTCATCTCCCTCTACGAGTGGAAGTACTTCGACTTTGACCCCGGAAAAGGAACCCGCTGGGGAGCTCCATTCCAGCAATAACCAGCCATCTGGTGACGCGGTACCGAAGGAAGGAACGCAACATGAAGGTCTTGCTGGCGGCGAAACGCAAATATAGCCCGCAACTACTAACGACGAATCGATTGGAACAGCACCAGCTGGCGACGGCGACATCAGTACCGTGGCCCCCCACACCACCTCCCCTTTTTGCTCTTGCATCTTCCTGTGACGCGTGCTGCTGCTGCTGCGGTGGTGGCTGTGCGTGCATGAGGTGGTGTGCGCCGAATATGAACTAAGGCCCAATGCAACTGAACTGTTTTTGTGATGAATATTGGCTGCGCTTCCCGTGGACCAACAATTCTCGTGGTGCGCGGGGACATCTTTCCCTTTTTTGTTGCTTTGGCTTTTTGGGCTGCTGTGTGCGCTGCATCTATTCTCGTGTGTGCATGCGGTGGAGCCTTGTGCGCCGCTCCTGTTTGCTTCTCCCTCTTCCATCTGTGTGTGTGTGCCTGCTGCCGTGGATTGGAGTGTGTGTCGTGCGTGGTGTGCGGCGTACGGTGCATGCCTGGCTGCTGCTCTCTCCTCATGTGGTTTGCCCTCTGTGTGTGTGTCCGCCGCACCTCTCGTCTCCCCTGTTGCTCTCCATGTCCCTCACTGTGCAGATAAGCTCCACACGACTGAATGACCACACTCACGATGATGACGTGCCGTCTGCTGTACGCCCTGCTGGTGCTCGCCCTGTGCTGCTGCCCGTCCGTGTGCGTGACAGCAAGTGAGAATAAGGCTGAGCAGGAAACTACCACTACGACTACCACAACAAAGCCACCAACTACGACGACCACGACAACAACGAAGCCACCAACTACGACTACCACAACGACCACCACCACAACCACGACCACTGCGCCAGAGGCACCAAGCATTACGACTACAGAGGCGCCAAATACGACGACCACCCGTGCGCCGTCAAGTATTCGCAGAATTGACGGCAGCCTCGGCAGCTCTGCGTGGGCGTGTGCCCCGCTGCTTCTCGCCGTATGCGCGCTGGCGTACACCACTCTGGGCTGAAGAGGTGTGTGCGGGCTGTGCGTGCCAGCACTCAGCCACGGGGACATGTGTGCGTCTACCGTGGTCCGATGTATGAAGTAAGAGTAATTATGATGATTGTGTTTTGTTTGCTTGCTTCTGCTGCCATGCTGTGTGCTCCGCGTTGTGCACCACATCCGTCACGTTGAACGCATCCCAGACACACTCATATGCATGCGCACTGGAGCCTTGGGTTTGTTTTTTCTTGTTCTTTAATTCTTTTTTTAATCTTTTTTTCGTTGCTTCTGCTTTTATAGCTTCTGTGTTGTGGGGCGGTGTGCAAGTTCTGCAATTGTACTGATTCCATCTGTCTCATGTTGTGTTTGTTGCTGCTGCTGCTGGGCTGCTGCCGTTTGTTTTTGTGCGGTTGCTGTGCGTGGTGTAGCGGTCGTATTTCTCTCTTTGTTTTCGCTGCGTTGACGGGGAGTTGTTTTGTGCTGGAGGCTGCACGCAAGTGACGGGAGTG